GTTACTTTGTAAAAATGACGGGAGGTCTGTGAAAGGAAGTGTATTTTAGAAATGTGTGAACCGTGTTGTTGTGACATTATTAGAGAGGGACCATCCTGTCAGTGAGACCTGTCCAACAAAGAACACAGACTCACAGTGAAGCTCTGATGGGCACTTTAACAAAGAAAGTGCACATCATGTGAGAGTCACACTCCAGCAGGTCATACAATACAGCCCCCCCCACCCCCCCTCTCTCTCTCTCTTTCTCTCTATCAGTCTGTCTGTCTCACTCCCTCTCTATGCCACTTGCAGAGTCTATAGAACTATCTCCTGTGCTTCAGGGCTTTTCAATGTAGTTATTCAAGCAGAACACAACTGTGTGCCTCCATCTGATAGAAGGTTAAGGACCTCTTCACTGCTCACAAAAAAGCCCGCCACACAGAGGTGAGGCCAGGCTCACCTCAGGGAAGAAATCTTTCTCTGTCCTCCTCCTCCTTCTCTTTCACTCTTCCTGGTGCGGTGAAAAGAAAGGTTCAAAGGATAATGGCTGTCTTATCACTATGTAAAAGGGGAATGGGAACTCCAGCGAAGTGCCTGGCCTTTTGTGGCAATGAAGAAAAGAGCAAAAGTCTATTTCGCCGTGGTGTATGCACTGAAACAGTCCATGACCACTAAAAAGGAGAAGGCAGCTGGAAGACAGTCAGCGGGCAAAAGGCCGGGCAGCTCTTTAACTAAGCCCGAGGCCAACACATCTGAAACACATAACCTCCTTTGAAAAAAGGCCTGTCAGGAGTATATTAGGTGTGTGAAATGTTGGCTTATGAGCAATATAACTTTTATTCCCAATTCAGGTGGTTGTAAGGTAAATTCCATTAGGCAAGCCAAGCTTAGTTCAGCAGGCATAACTATTCTAGTAATTCAAAACGTCTTTATAACTTGTAATCTAGAAACATCAAGTCATGCTTATATATTCTACTCACTCTGTCTGATCACACAGCTAAGTGTCGGTATGTTCAAACATTTGTTTAAACCCATGCTGGAACAGCCCCCTTCCTTAAAGGCATGGGAGAAAACCCCAGCGTGGCTAATAAAAAAAAGGAGCAGAACGAGAAAGAACTTAAAGCAATAAAAGGAAGTCTTGCAGGGCTTTTTAGGAAGTTTATCTTACCAGGTTTTGCTCATTCTGGAAGCTCGGCAGATGAGCCACCTGAACCGTTTCCTTGCCATGTCATTTCCCTGGCTTCTTTGTGGTGATTGTGAAGATGGACAGAGAAGGAGGGCAGCAGGAGGGGGGTGATGTCATTGTATTTCTAGTATAGATTGATGTGCATTAGCTTTATCTTATTCTTGGTTTACAGGTGTTTTTAATTGATTTTAAGGGTGGATCTGTACCTCTACATTTTCTACAAACAAACACATACATGTAATCCCATAGATATAAAAATACCAACAAACTAAATGAATAATACTACTAAATTATATACTAAATATCACTCTGAGGAACAGAAATTTAACCCATTCATGTCATACAGCATGAAACTCAACGCAACAGCAGATGAAGCCTCCTGGTCTGTTTCGATCGATACGTTTGAACAGCCTCCCCAAAATCACAACAATTCAAACGAAAAAAAGACGGAAAGAACGAGAAAGAAAGAAAGAAAGACAGAAAGGGTTGTTGAGTGATGAATTATGTATCAAAGGACGAACACATCAATAAAGGCTAATGTGCTCTGTTTTGAGACAGGAAAACAGCGGAGCTGCCAGGTGACAGGGAGAGATTTAAGATCTCTGGAAATGAATTATGACAGCGATTTAGATAGGTGTCAAATGCACATTTACATTCGGCTCACAGCTGAAGGCTAACACGGTGGCTCTTCTGCAATCTGGGGGAGACACTGATATAGATCATATCTGATGCCAAAGGAACAAAGGCCGAGCCACAGATAGTGACCTTTGAGTGGCCGTTCCATCCCTTTTGTAAAGGTTCTCTTTGTGTTGGCACCTGGCGTAGCTTTAAGCTGCCTACTGGGTACTCAGCCTCCGTTACACTTTTTGAACACTTTTCAATGTGGGAGTTTAGGCATCTGTTTTGAACTGTGAGCAACTATGTGTGACTTCATTGGGAATGCTGGCAGTTAGAATGTCAAGCGTCACAGATAATGGTTCTGACAGCAACACAAAAACAAAAGAAAACGACATACAGTTCGCACCCCTTCCTCACACGTGGCTAATTTCAACTTGAAGCTTCGCGGTTTCAGTTTCAGTTTCAGGGACACAATAAATACAGGTTTGTGTGAACCACTTTGGACCTCAACAGTCAAATCGCAAATTGAGAGGATGGACCCCCGCTTAACTGGAGGACCCTTGTTTGAGGCTCCTTGTTCGAAAGATCCATTTTTCTCAAGAGTCTCTGAGCAAGGGAGTGTATCCTAACCTCCTCCTGAGGCGTCAGTCTGCAGCTGAACCTGCACCGCCGCTTCATAGTGGACGGGGGTTAAAAAAATCCAACAAGGATCAGTGAAGTATCACATTATTATCACTCCTCAGATACACTGGGGTTACAGTCAAGGAGAAAAAAGCTCGGTTGGCACTGCCCCTTCATCAACACTCCCCACACAGACGAGCATCTAATATTCCATTACAATGATGGCAATTAACAGAGGAATGATAGCGACCCAGTGACAATGGACAAATTTGTGACAACCCTTCCGATTGTTCGTCAGTGGCGGAAATCTATATCATTGTCTGCGAACGTTCAGCTGCAGAGTGCAGCATGCACGCTCCAGCGCCTTTACAAGTGGTAGTTTAACAAGGAGCAGGGGGCAAAATTTTAGCTCTTTAAGCTCTTGCAATTACACGAGGCGGCAAAAGGGAGGCCGTTCTTAAGTGTGAAGCGAGATGGGTGAGCTGTTTTTTCTTCAGTTCCACAGCAGAGGCAAAGACAACTCTGTTTAGTAGGGAACATAACCTTTTTTTTTTCTCTCCAACCTGAAAGCTCCATCTTATAAGGATGAGTGGCAACCACCACAGACAAAAGTGATAGAAATGCACAAATGCACAAACGTAACACACACCACAGACACACAAACACACACAATGATGCTGGGTAAAGATCCCATTTCATTTTATGTCATTCTTCAAGAAGATTTTAAATGTTTGTTTTTAGATAATGTGTATCCAGATATTGATTTTAAAATGTTTTTAACTTTGTGATTTTCTTTGTTTCCTGAATTCAGGTAAAAATCATAGGAATGATAAAAATGCTTCACATAATTTGAAAATGCATATTAGAACTTTAAAGAATACCTCAAAATCCTACCTGTCATGGTGTGTATTGTATATGACTGCACTATGGATGAGGCCCACTGAAGGCCAACGCAAAGGAAATTAGCTTAGCGGTTAAATTAATTTGATCCCTTTTTCAAACTGCTGAGGGAAAAAAAGAAAAGAA